CTCCCCAATCTCTGCAACCTGCCATCCCCTCTGTTGGGAGCCTCAGCTCCCACCACACCCCCACCCATCGCCCTCCCCCCACTCTCAGTACTTGTCATTTCCCAAATGCACGCCACTCCCCCTGCAGCTCCCTGCCCCACTCTGCACCCGACAACCCCTCAGCCTGCCTCCTCCAGGAAGTACTCCCAGTTTCATTGCCTCCATCGGCACCACCATCTCCCCAGCATGCCAACTGCAGGCGGTACCCTCCACTCCCCCATGGACGACACACCTGGTGCTCAGGGCCTGCTTTAAAGCAGAAGATGGGGCTCAGGGAGACGAGGTGACCTGCACAGGGGGGTGAGCAGGGAGCCTTGACTGCTCGGGAGAAGTAAAGGCTCGCAGCTAAGAGCAGGGGCTTCCGTGACCACCTTGGGTCCAGACTCTGGCTCTGCCACTTCCTGAGGCAGGTACCTCCCCTCTCTGAGCCTCTGCCTTCTCATCTGTGAAATGGGGATAGGGGTAATGAGGGCACTTGCAACAGGGGCTTGTGGGGAGGCTGAAGTGAGATGGTGCCTGCACAGAGCAGGAGGGGGAGGGGCGGGGAGAGAGGAGGTGGGGAGAGGGGGAGGGTGCTGCACGGCCAGGGCTCCAGGGCTCAACACCGGGCTGTGGGACTCCAGAGTCCCACAGGCCAGGGCACAAACACCTGCACACCAGACAAGCGCTCACACATAAGACACGCACCAACACATGTACACACGGGCACACTCACAGGCACCCATGCAAACACCCGCATACGTAGGTGTGCGCGCATGGGCAAGCGAACATGCATGCACACGTGCACTCACACCTGCAGGAACTCGCACACGGGCAGGCACACACCTAGACTCGCACACTCTCACACCCTCCCTACCACTGCACCCTCGGGTCACCTCAGCTCTCTAACCCACCAGCGCCAGGCCGGAACTTCCCCCACCCCCCACCGCCCTTCTTTCTCCTTCAGAAATTCTCCAACCCCACGCCTCCCAAGACAGAGGCGCCAGCCCCACAGGTTTCAGCTCTGCGGCAGCTCAGGCCAAGCCCTTTGGGTCACAGAGGGCAAAGCCCACCCTGTCCTCTCTGTGCCACGAGGGGGCCCCTGGAGGGTGACTGGGCAGTGACAAGAAGTGAGCAGAGACGGAGTCAGGAGCCAGGAAGGAGAAGTACTTCACACGCGGTATCGACACTGCTGCCCCAATTTACAGAAGGCACAGAAAGGGCAAGTGGCTTGCCCAAGAACGCACAGCCAGCACATGTGGTACCTGGATTCAAACAGGTTTTCATTAAAGCTAATGGCCTAAACTGTAAAAGGCCCCTCGAGCCCCTGCCCTCCCTGGATTCTTATTCTGCAGCCAGGCACTCACCTGCACCGTGTGGCCTCTCCCGTCACCCTGGGGACCACAACTCAGAACGCAGCCATCCCACGATCAGCACGAAAGGAAAAGGAGGCCAGAGCGTGGCCCAGGGCCCTCCCCACACCTCCCCACCTCCTAAGACGCCCGCGCAGCCCTCGCCCACCGCAGCCCTGTCGGCCGTGGCCACCTACCAGGGGCAGGCTGCAGCTGGGGATGCTGGGGAAGTCGTGGTGCTCCACGTGGTAGCCCACGTTGAAGGTGATCCAGTTGAGGGGCCCGTAGTAGGAGTAGGTCTCGTAGCCCTTGACGAACATGTAGTGCTCAGCCACGAAGTGGCCCGAGATGGGGTGCAGGCCCAGGCCCAGCAGCGAGCTGGCCAGCAGGTAGACCACGGGCTTGAGCCCACCGAGGGCGAAGATGGTGGCGTCGGCCGCCAGCTGCACCAGGGTGTTGAAGACCTCCATGCGGGTCACGGCCCTGGGGTGCACCCACAGCGGCCGCAGCGTGTAGAAGAAGGGCTGCAGCACCAGCCAGAGCAGCTTGCGGGCCGGCGTGCAGAAGAACCAGCCCTCGAAGTGTGTAGGCACGTCCACGTCCAGCCCGTCGCCACCCAGGTAGCGGTGGTGGTCTATGTGGTACTTCTTGAAGGAGGCGGCGTAGGGCACGCCTATGGGCAGATTGGCGAAGACGGCGAACCAGCGGTTGTGGGCGGCGCGGCCCGTGCCGAAGGCGGTGTTGTGCGAGATGTCGTGGATGGCCAGCGTCAGCGAGTGGTTCACGCAGCCCCCGAAGGCGTAGGCCCAGAAGAGCAGCCAGCGCCACGCCAGCCCCCGCACCAGCCAGCAGGCCAGCAGCTGCGCCAGCACCAGCCCCAGTACCGTCCACTTGAGATGAGGATCCGGCCGCATCAGGGCCTTGATGGCCGGGTACTTGGCTGCAGGTGGAACCCGGAGAGAAAGGCGTGAGGGGGGCACTCGCTGCGCTCCCACATCCCTCCCATCTTCCCTCTTTCCTCCTCCCCGCCTCCTTCCCCTCCTTCCCCTCCCTCCCTGCTCCCACCTTCCCTCCTCCCTCCCTTCCTCCCTCTTTCCATCGTCCGTTAAGCCCCCAGGCAGTGATGTGGAGATAAACTCGCCCCTCCTTTGAGGATCACTCTAAGACCTTGGGGGCCTAGGAACAGCGCGCAGCCCGGGAGTGACGAGGTGGACCAGACGCCCCAAACTCGTCAGGAACCTGGGGGGCAAGGGAGGCCCGGGGAGGGAAACATGCAGGGCTCTGGCTCTGAGTGTGTCAGTTCTGAAAACAAACCAGATCTGAAGGAAATACGATAAAATGTTGGACGCGTTTATTTTGGGTGGTGGGTGTGTGTTAGAGTATCTTTTGTACTTTCCTGTGTTTTGTTTTACAGAAAAGGGAAAAACAATGAGAATGGGAGTTGGCCAAGCAGAGGGGGGCCAGGGGCAGCCAGACCCTGCAGGAACCTCAGCAAGAGCAGGTGGAGTGAACGCCCTTGGGGCAAGACAGCTGTGCCTTCCAGAAACCTCCATGGCTGCCCGCTCTGCGGGAGCGGGCTGGCAGGGCCAGGCAGAAGGTGGGCGAGGAGGCTGGTGCTGCATCCAGAGACAGGGAGGGACAAGGCCAGAGGTCATGACACACTCAGGGTGACAGACGCCCCCAGGTCTGCTCTGTCCCCTAGTTCCCGGGGCAGAGCAGACAGCCCTCAGGGGTAGAGCCAGCACCGTGATGCACAGATGGGGAAACTGAGGGCAGGGACTGTTCCAGGGCACCCTCGGTCATCAGTACCTATCTCCAGTGCCTTCAGTGTCCACCCCTCCTGCCCAGCAAGCAGCCGGGCAGCCTTGGGCTCACCCTCTGACTGGCCCACAAAGGGTCTCCAGACACAGCAGAGGCCAGGTCCCAACTGGAATTGGCCAGGCCAAGGTCGAATCCTACCTCGCTCTTTCCTCCAAGTGACCCAGGAAGTCACCTCCCCTTTGTGCTCTGAATGGGATGTGACAGCTCAGCTCAGCCACCCAAGGCCGCCTCAGCCAGGACCCTCCCCCCAGCCCCAAGAACTTTCCGTCAGAGACACCCAGCAATGGAACAGGTGCTTCAGGGGTGGTGAGCTGCCTGTCCCTGGGGTATGCAAAGAGAAACACACAACATGGGCAAAGGGATTCTGTCCCCACTCCCCAGTCGGAGGGAAGACTCAGGATCAAAATCCTCCTGCCCGAGCTGCCCTGTCTCGGGGTCAGTCTTGATCTCACTGTGTGGCCGAGGGTGCGTTCCCACCCTCTCTGGGCCTCGGTGTCCCTGTGTGAGATAGCACAGATGTGCTGTGCTTCACAGGGTGTCTGTCCCCATGGAATCGTCCTGCTAGAGATGCTGCGGGGGAGCTGGGGTTCCCACGTCCTAGAACCACAGGCCACCTCTACCCTGGGAGAGCCAACAGAGTCCCCAGGCAGCGTTTACACCCCTGCAGTCTGCACACCAGCGCTCCCACCAGGCCTCCACCTCATCGGGCAGCTATGGTGCTTTGGGCTCCAACCAAGTGAGCAGAGGCTCCTCACAGTCCCCAGGGCAGCCCATGAGTGGCCGATGTGGGGTCTGAAACCCCACAGATGGCAGGGGCGGGCAGAAGCAGGACTCCCCTGACACACACGCGCGCACACACACACTCTCTCTCACACACACACACACGCTCCCACTCCAGTCGCCTCAGACATGGGACAGCGCCACTCCCAGGCCTCCAGCTCCCAAAACTGCCTAGGCGCTTTGATCTAGGAGTCTCTCCCTGAAGCTGGCCCAGCATAACCACCCAGCAGACCCACGAGGATGGTAGTTACAGTGCGCATACAAGAGCAGAACTTCAGAAAGAGCGAGCAAGCCCAGCGACAGGTAACAAACCTCAGCCCCACCAAACAGGGGCCACAGGGGGCCACAGCATCCCTGGGGGACTGGGAGGGAGCAGCGTCAGTGCGGGTTCAAATCCCAGCTCCAGATAAGGGTTTAATATCCAGAATCTCTAAAGATCTCCTACAACTCAACAACAAAAAGACAAACAACCCAATTTAAAAACGGGCAAAGGATCTGAAAAATAGACATTTCTCCAAAGATGTGCACTGGCCAATAAGCACGTGAAAAGATGCTCAACACCATCGGTCACTAGAGAAATGGAAATCAAAGCCACAATGAGGTGCCCCGTCACACCCGCTGGGACAGCTAGATTCAAAAAACAGCAAACAACGCGAGTCGGCAAGGTTGCGGAGAAACGAAGCCTTGTCTGTACGCTGCTAGTGGGAATGCAAAATGGTGCAGCCGCTGTGGAGAACCATTTGGCAGTTCCTCAAAAGGTTAAACACAGAATTACCATATGACCCCGCAATTCCACTCCTAAACATATACCCAAAAGAATTTAAATCAGGGACACAGATACTTGTACACCAATGTCCACAGAACTAGTCACAATAGCCCACAGGTGGAAGCCACCCAGATGTCCATCAACTGATGGCTGGAAAGACAAAATGTGGCCTAGTCACACAATGGATGATTCTTCAGCCTTAAAAAGGAATGAAACTTGCAGTTATAAGATAAACAAGTCATGGGGATGTAATGCACAGTGTGGTGACTATAGTTAATAATACCATATTGTGTATTTGAAAGTTGCTAAGAAAGTAGATCTTAAAAGTTCTCATCACAAGAAAAAACAATTTGTAAGTGTGTATGGTGACAGACGTTAACTAGACTTATTGTGGTGATCGTTTTGCAATATATACAGATATTGAATCATTATGCTGTACACCTGAAACTAGTATAATGTTTTATGTCAATTATACCTCAATTACAAAAAAATTCTGGGGGCCGGCCCCTTGGCCCAGTGGTTAAGTTTGGCACATTCCGCTTTGGTGGCCCAGTGGTTAAGTTTGGCACACTCCGCTTTGGTGGCCCGGGTTCACAGGTTTGGATCCCAGGCAAGGACCTACATCACTCGTCAGCCATGCTGTGGTGGCGACCCACATACAAGAGAGAGGAAGGCTGGCAACAGATGTTAGCTCAGGGCGAATCTTCCTCAGCAAAAAAAAAAAAAAAATTCTTATTTGGATTTTCTACCTTCTCTATTTCACAATTCCAACTCCCCTAATCCAGCTCCCTGGAATTGACTCCCAAATAACCTACCAGCACTCCCCCAAAAAAAGAATGAAGTACTGACTCATGCTACAATGTGGAGGAAACTTGAAGACATTATGCCACGTGAAAAAAGCCAGGCACAAAAGGCCACGTGCTGTATGAGTCCACTTCTGTGAAATATCTAGAACAGGCAAGTTCACAAAGACAAAAAGTAGAGGTCAGCAGGGGCTGGGGAGGGGCCCGAGGGCGACAGGGCATGCCTGGTAATGAGTCATGAAAAGCTTTTGGAAATAGTGATGGCTGCACAACACTGTGATGTAATTAATGACACCAAATCATACACTAAAACATGGTTAAATGGCGAATTTTCTGTTCTATATATTTTACCACAATAAAAAAATGTTAAGGGCCAGCCCAGCGGTGTAGCGGTTAAGTTGGCGTGCTCCACTTTCGCAGCCCAGGGTTCTCAGGTTTGGATCCTGGGTGTGGACCTACACACCGCTCATCAGCCATGCTGTGGCGGCGTCCCACATACAAAAAAGAGGAGGATGGGCACAGATGTTAGCTCAGGGCCAATCTTCCTCACCAAAAAAAACAAAACAAAACAAAAAAAATCCCAACTCCGGGCAGGCAACCTGAGCTCCAAGGCTTGGTCTCTGAACCATAAACCAGGTCACCGGAAGGATTAACAGGTAAGGCTCGGGAGAGCGCAGGCTGTGCGCAGACCGATCGCAGGCTTTAGGAGGACGAGTCAACAAAAGCACACAGTACAGGCCAGCTTTAAGAGGCAGCCTCCAGAAGGCTCACCGCAGACAGTTTCCCGCGGTGTCAAGGAGCTGCAGGGCTGGAAGGTGGTGGACAATGGTGATGGCGAACGGGCTGATTAATTGCTCTCCTCCAGTCCTGCCCACATCGCCTGATGGGGCCTCTCGGAGCTGTTGGAGGTGACCCGGCTGCCCGCAGAGGCCGGAGGAGGGAGACGGGAGGGGCACAAAGGCCCTGCCAACGTAAACCAGGAGAGCCGTTCACAAGGTGGAGAGAGAGCTTGGCAACCGTGGTGGGCAGAATAATGGCCCCCAAAGATGGCTAGCCCTAATCCCATGGCCTGTGTGCTCGTTAGAGTCCAGGGCCAGGGAGAACCAGGGTTGCACGTGGCATTCAGGATGCTGTCAGCTGACCTTACAACAGGGAGAAGGTCCTGGATTCCCAGGCAGCCCCATGTCATCCCAGGGCCCAACAGGGGAAGAGCGGGCAGGAGAGGAAGTCGGAGGGGTGGATGGGAGGGACTCCATCTGCCATTGCTGGCTGTGCAGATGGGGGAGGGCCCCAAGCCCAGGAGTGCAGGTGGCCTCCAGAAGCTGGAAAGGCTGGGAAACAGATTCTCCGCTGAAGCCCCCAGCTGAGCATGGCCCTGCCAACACCCAGCGAGACTGTGTCAGACTTCTGACCTCGAAGCTGTAGATAATAAGGGTGTTTTTATGGGGCTGGCCCAGTGGCATAGTGGTTAAGTGCATGCGCTCCGCTGCCGCAGTCTGGGGTTCGCAGGTTTGGATCCCGGGCGCTCACTGATTCACAGCTTATCAAGCCGTGCTGTGGCGGCGTCTCATATAAAATAGAGGAAGATGGGCACAGATGTTAACCCAGGGCCAGTCTTCCTCAGCAAAAAGAGGAGGATTGGGATCGGATGTTAGCCCAGGGCTGGTCTTCCTCATAAAAAAAAAAAAAAGAAAGAAAGAAGTGTGTTGTTATAAGCCCCCAAGCTTGTGGTAATACCTGCAGCCCTAGGAAACGCACACAGCAACTGGCAGGGGAGGGGGGGGCAGGGGGGT